TCGATATTTACRAAATTTCGTAAATTAYGAATCAATTACKAATCGATTTYGAAACAATWACGAATCGATTCGTTAATGGCGGGYGCGATCGCGCAATACGCTAAAAAAACCTCCAAATGRGACAGGAAGCTTCCCTCTCCCTCTGTTGTTGACTGTTGGTGTGATAATTTATTTWTTTTTTCACTGAGAAAACAAACAGCAACCCTAAAACTTGCACCAGACATTCGGAAATAATAACGAAACGATTTCGAATCAATTACGAATCGATTTCGAGACAATTACGAAACRAATTGAAAAAAATTGTTTCGTTTTTTAGTTGCCCCTGAWTGGTTCWATATCGCTTCGTTATCAAAAAAAATAACGAATTAATAACGAATTACGAAATTAAYGAACGAAACCGCCCAGCCCTACCTGCTAAGCCTCACAGCTGTTTCTCTGTTGGGTCCCTCAGGACTCAATATTGTCTCCCGTGCTATTTAACATCTACATGAAGCTCCTGGGAGAGATCGTCCGGAGTTTTGGAGTTTGATGTCATCTGTATGCAAGTGGTGTTCAACCTTTATTACTCCTTTCCATCTGCTACTAAGGAGGCTGCTCAGGATGAGGGCAAACAAATTGAAATTGAATCCAGACAAGACAGAGTTACCCTTGGTCAGTTGTAAGGCCAAACAGGGTATAGGGTGGATGGGGTTACATTCCGCTTGAAGATACAGGTTCATGCTTGGGAGTGATCCTGGACTCATCGCCGAACCTGGAACCCCAGGTTTTGGCAGTGGCCAAGGGAGCTTTTACACAATTAAAAGTTGTGCACCAGTTGCCCCAATACCCTGGGAGATCAGACTTGGCCACGGTGGTCCATGCTCTTGTTACATCGAGAATGGATTACTGCAATGTGCTCTATGTGGGGTTGCCTTTGAAGACTGTTTGGAAGTTTCAAATCCTCCAACAGGTGGCAGCCAGATTGCTCACTAGAGCACCGTACAGGGAGCACACAACTCCCCTATTAATGTCAGCTCCACTGGCTGCCAGTCTGCTTCTGAGCACAACTCAAAGTGCTGGCTTTAGCCTAAAACACCCTAAGCCAGTGGTTCAGAATCTGTGGGTCCCCAGGTGTTTTGGCCTTCAACTACCAGAAATCCTAACAGCTGGTAAACTGGCTGAGATTTCTGGGAGTTCTAGGCCAAAACACCTGAGGACCCATAGGTTGAAAACCACTGCCCTAACGGTTCCAATCAGCTTATCTGTTTGAACATATCTCCCTCTATGACTCACCTTGGAGGTTAAGATCATCGGGGGAGACCCTCATTTATGGAACTACCTCCCTAGTGAAATTAGATCTACCCCATCTCTCCTGACCTTCAGGAAAAAAAATGAAAACATGGCTCTGGGAGTAGTGCAGTGTGAAACTGCAAATCAACATAATGATGACTTAGACTGGCCCTGGAATATGATTTGGATCACATGATTTTAATTGAAGTTTTAATGCTATGTTTTTAATGGGTTTGGTTTTAACATTTTTGTTTTTTGATGTATTCATATATGGTACTGCATTGCTGCCTTTGTAAGGGCGTCCTGAGCCCCATTTGGGGTTGAGAAGGGTGAGATATAAATGTGACAATTAAATAAAATAAATAGTATAATATGGTTCTTCAGATAACCTGGATCCCAATCATACAGGGCTTAGGAGTCCATGACCAGCTTTCAGGCTTTTGTGTAGAAAGAGAAGAGCAGCAAGAGGAGCTGTTGCAGATGAGGCACTTAGAGCACAGGGCTTGTCTTGAAATAAATTGCACTCCAGTGCCTGTGCTTTCATTCCAAGTCAGGTTGTGCAATGACTTCAGTGGCATTTCAGCAAATGAGGATTAGGGCCCCTGTCAGATTCAGGGGAGGGCAGTGTAGCATCTCACCCGTGTTAGTTGCCCACCCCCGCATCTTAAAGTGTTGCTGTAACACTGGGGAGGGCCAGATTGCTGCTCTAACCAGCATCTCATGTCTTTAAAATGTACAACAGCATTCTTGTTTTTTTTTTCCCTGGACCATTGCTGTCTCTAGACTTCGCAGAATTGTTTCTGCTGCTGCCTACTGTATGATTAAGCAGTCAACAGCTTGTATTTGCTGGAGAGACACACTTTTGGATATCAGCTTTTCATCAGAAATACATTTCTTTGTCTGCAGGATTCTAAGCTGGCAGCTTTCCAATTTTGCTTCAATTTTAGAGAAATATTTTTTTCCCCAGAGCAGTTTTCTCCTTTAGTTTAAGAACATGGCTAGCGGAGTTGAACTTGTTCAAAGAACTGTCTCTAAGTCACCTCTATTGAATTAGGCTTGCTGAGCAATACCTCAAGGAATATTTCACTTACTCTAATTAACTTACTGAGAAAATTAAACTGAGAGGAGAGGCCCTCTAGTCCTGATCTTTGTGCATTGTTTTTCCTTGTCCAATAAATCAAGATTTAGTTTTTCTTAAAGAAACCAAGGAGGGCTATAGACGGGTTAGAAACTAAACAGTATGTGAAGAGTTGCTCTATGGGGTAAGAATTCAGCTACCCTGAGTTCTTTTTCATCTGAAATCATGTTATCTATTGGCTGCTATTCCAAACTAGAATAGATCATGTAGTATTTTATGGCTGTTGCAGTCATCCTTGGGAAATGCTTTCTCACAGTTGCCATAATATTAGATGCTGCTAAGCACCTTTCCTTCCAAAAGCTCATTCAGATTTTTGACACGGATACTTTTATGACAGTAGAGCATGGAATGTAAGCATTCATCAACGTTACTGTCACATTAACAGACAAATAAACATTGCCTACTTGGGGCAAAAGGAAGCCTATCCTCAGAAAATCAAAGCATCTTCTATGTAAATTACCAGTTTAATGAAAGTGAACTCTTAGGTATTTCCTGATTACAGAAAATGTACCCATGTTTCCCCATTCTGTCTCCAGGGCTATGGCAACGTGGGTGTGCATTCCATGCGATACCTGCACCGCTATGGAGCCCGTTGCATATGTGTTGGGGACCTAGATGGTGCCATCTATAATGCTGAGGGGATTGACCCCAAGGAACTACAAAACTACAAGCAGGTATGTTGGATTCAGTTGGAATATGTACATGCTGAGTGATTATCTTTTTTTCCAGTAGTAGTGAAAAGCTCAGCCCTATTTCTCCCTTGAAGCATCACTGGTTAACAGCAACGTGATATGACTCTATCCACTGGTGTTACCAGTCAGCCTGTTTCAGCCACAGAAATGGTCATTTGAAATTGTGAGGAAATATTTGTGCTCTTTAAATGCTAGGTTAAACAAACTGAAGTGTCTGTCTTATTCTAGGAAAGTGGAACCATTGTTGGCTTTCCAAAAGCCAAGAAACTTGAAGGCAGTGCCCTTGAAGTGCCTTGCGATATCCTCATCCCTGCTGCAATTGAGAAACAGTTGACAAAGGCAAATGCTCATCGCATCCAAGCAAAGGTATTGCTTTGAGTGTTCTGGTTTTTTTCTCTCTTCCACTCCAAGACAAAATGAAACCAGAGGTTTTTGATGTATTTGTCTAGAAAGGGAATTTGATGTTCAGCACAAGTGGGCTTTTTCAGTACAAACTACATCTACCCATTATGAAGCAGCTGTGGAGCTGAGGTGCTTATATGCCTCCACTCAACAGACTTTAAATATATTGCAGGCAAATGGAAATGAAGGTGTGGCTAATTGTATTTGTTTTCTGTACATGGAATAAATTTTCCTTGTAAGCCTCAGGAGGAAAAAAAAGTACCACATATAAAATCAATCAAGTCTTGGGCGACACATTTATTATGCCATGGCCTTTTATGGACAGTTTTGGAGCTTATAATGGGCTATTTTTCCTATATGAAAGTACCTAGTATTAGTAGTTCCTCAAGTGATCTATGAGAAATTGGCAGGGCTAGAACTGGAAATCCATGACTCTTTCTAAAGTCTGATTTTGAGTAGTTTTACCAAACACCTCCATTGTGGGGGTCATGAGGGAAAAGAGCTTTATCACACTTGCAAAATTATGAATATAATAGATAGTAAATGTTAAATTAGGCACTTTCCAATCATATACGGAGAGAAGTTATAGTACAAAATCTGAATATTCCATGAGTAGTGTGCAGGCTCTACACCTATCCTGTAGAACATATGATAACATCTCATAGCTGGTGATCATATAGACCAAGCATGGGCAAACTTTGGCCCTCCAGGTATTTTGGACTCCAGCTCCCACAATTCCTGACAGCCAGCAAGTTGTCTGGGATTTCTGGGAGTTCATAACACCTGGAGTACCAAAGTTTGCCCATGTCTGATGTAACCCCATAATTAGGAGAGATATATAGGTTCTACACAAGTTCCCTAAATTGATAGAATATTGAAATTGTGAAGCTGACCCTGTTCTCCAAGAAAGTCTCCTGTGTTTTAAAGATGTGACTAAAAGCAATGTTACAAATCTACAAGCCTCTCTTGCCTTAGAGGCTATTTGTTGTGTTTTCATATGTTGAGTCAGGGTTGGACAGCTTTCTCGTAGCTGAGTATAAATGGATGAGTGCTAAATGGTAATAGCTTTTTGAAATAACATGTTACAGCATCATTTCTGTACCCTGCTTCAAAGTAATTTATCAGGACGGCTTCTCAAGATTTTATTTCGAGTACTGTTGTTCTGATGTTCTCTATAGTTTTGTATTGTTTCTGGTACCTTGCAGATAATTGCAGAAGGTGCCAACGGCCCTACAACCCCAGAAGCTCATGACATCTTCCTTCAAAGAAAGATACTTGTACTTCCGGTATGCCTGCATATTGCTTTCCTCCGTTGGTATCCTATTTCATGCCTTAATGCTTGGCCTACTGGTAAAGTTACCATTATTGAGCATTGTCTTATATAGCATAATATTGAACCTTACTCTAAAATAAGATAAAATTTGGTGTTGCTACACAAATAAGCATTATTGAGCTCCACAGCATTGTGAAATTGACATTGTGTGGGGAAGTCTGGTGGTAACTAAATATAAACAGGCTACTTTTACCATCTCTGTTTTAGCTCATGTTTGTGCTTGAATTAGGTACTACAGTTAGTCTCCCATGCTGATATAGTATTAAGCAGTGGGAGAGGCTTATTCTGTTACTTTTCTTTTACTTACCTAAAGCAGTTCAAATGACTAAAAGCAGACTCCTGTTAATAAAATCACATCCTTGGTTTTGTGTGATGTAACTATCCACTGTCTTTTGTTGAAATATGTTGGTCTTGAATAAAGAGGGCATGCCCCCTCTATTCCTCATGGAGACCTGCACTGTGGAAGTCTCTTTCCTGCTGTGGTTCTGGAAGCATCACTCCCCAAATAAACGAACTGTCATCTGAATGAAGTCTATTTCCTGCTGTGGTTCTGGAAGCATCACTCCCCAAATAAACGAACTGTCATCTGAATTAGTCTTTCAGAGGTGATCTATTCACTTCCTTCCTATTTGGATCAATGGTAATAGCATTTGTTAGGGATGCTTTCAGTCAACAAGCACATAGCGTGTGGGTGATCAGCTAAATATTATATACTTGGACTTGCAAAAGGCTTTTTGCACATTCACCAAAGTTACTTAGCAAATCTTAATTGCTAAGTCAAGTCAGAAGAAGTGAGAAGTGAGAATGCATTAAAAGCATTTTGCAAGTTCAAGTATATTATGTCTCTGATCACCCCATCTTACATCCCAGAAGTTTTCTGCCATTAGAGATTAGTTTCTGCTTACAAATAAGAAGTACATCCAGGAATGGGTGCATTAGGGAAAGGTGAGCAACTGGGACACTAGGAAATTGATTTCTCCCCCAAGAGACCTTGAAGAACTGCACTCCCCACTGCACCCTCCCTGCAAACAAACCAGAATATGTTTTGCCCCAGATTACCCTAGAACTATTTAGAAGTTATGCCCATTTTGCTGTCTTTTTCTACCAGGAGTCATTTGAGATCCAGGACAAGCCATTTTTAATAACAGGGAGTGATAGATGTTTACTATTTATTTTGTGTTTTAGAAAAAGGCGTGGTGTATGTGTGTGTGTGTGTGTGAGCATACACACCTTCAAGATATCCGTTAATTTATGCCAACTCCATGAATTTCATAGCTGGTACAAAAGTAATGTGATAATAATGCACCCTACTCTTTCAAATGAGCCCACGGTGGCGCAGTGGGTTAAACCACTGAGCTGCTGAATTTGCTGACCAAAAGGTTGCCGGTTCAGATCTGGAGAAGTGAGGTGAGCTCCTGCTGTTAGCCCCAGCTTTTGCCAACCTAGCAGTTCGAAAGCATGCAAATATGAGAAGATCAATAGGTACTGCTCCGGTAAGAAGGTAACGGCACTCCATGCAGTCATGGCAGCTCCATGACTTAGGAGGTGTCTATTAGGCATGGATAGAGCCACGACAGATAACTCATTGCTCATAATCATTTCTTTAAAATTACCTTTCTGAAGTGATTTCAAAGCATTTTTAAAAACCGGAAGTCCTTTTGCCCTTCCGAAGCTTTTTCCGCCATTTTGGTTACGACTCAGGAAGTGAGTCGGAAATGATTCCGCGTATTTTCAGCCTTCTACTAGCCTGCCGGAAGGCAAGCAGCTTGCATGCTGGGAGGCTCCTTGCCTTCCAACCAATCAGGGGATAAGTTTTGGGGGAGCACGTGGCTCAGAGGCTCATTCGGAGCCAGGAAGGGAAGGGAGAAGGGAAAGAGAAATACAAAGGGAAGGGAGGTTGTGTTGAAGGGAGGTTGGAAGAAGAACACGGCGGGCAAGCAAGCAAGCAGAGAAGAAGGGCTGGGAGAAGGGCTGTTGCCTGCTTGCCTGGCTGCCTGCCTGGCTGGGCAGCCTGCCTTGCCGCTTGTGTGTTGTTGCTGCTGTTGGGATTTGGGACGAATGGGCACTGCTAGGGTAGTGTGTGGGTGAGTGGTGTGAGTGGAGGAACCATAGCACTCACTCCAACATTTTTAAAAGCCAATGTTGTAGCAGGTCTATCTGGCCTCAGCGTTTTTTAGTTTGTGTTGCACATTGTCTCAAAAGAACTAGATCTCCCATCAATTCAAGCCACTCTTTGGACACAAAATCTCCTTCCTAAAGTTGTGAAATCAGCTTCCAAGGCAAAAAGGGCAGGGCCGTTTGTTATTTTCTTTGTTTGCCTAAAAAGATACTACAAATCCCATACTTTCAAGTCTTTCCATACCTAACTTGTGAAATCAGCTTACAAGGCCTCAAAAGATCTCAGGGCTGGCTGTTTGTTATTTCCTTTGTTTACTGTGTGTTGCCTAAAAAGACACTACAAATCCCATACTTTCAAGTCTTGCTTATTGCGTATTGTGCAATAGCGTTCGCCATTAACGAAATGATTCAGAAATTTCGGAAATCTTGTAAAGTTTTAATTTTTTAAAAGAAAAATTCAGAATTCAATTCCGAATCGAACCACCAGAGCCCCCTACATCCGAAACGAATTTTGAACCATTTTTTTTATCAACCACGCCTAATGTCTATGGACAACGCCAGCTCTTTGGCTTAGAAATAGAGATGAATACCAACCCCCAGAGTTGGACACGACTAGACTTAATGTCAGGGGAAAACCTTTATCTTTACCTACCCTTTTTTCAAAGGGCATTTGGGGGCAAACAAATCCAATTTTTCTGGCCCCAGGTTACACTTTTCTCAATCCTGCTGAAAGGAGAGGTAAACAATGCAACTCTCTTCATATTGATAAATGACTGATAGTGAGAAGTGAACAGCTTGCTGCCTGAGTTCCTAGGTGATGCCATGTTACTTGATGAAATGCCAAGCTGTATGTGAAAAGCTCTGAGAGGACCTCCCCAGATTGGGTGATTTGAGGATAAGCTATCAAAAGAGGTTCATAATGAGTAAGAGATTTACACTACAGTATAGATTGATGACATCTGAACTGACATCTGACCAACCAGAATACAGATCCTGGGGTTATGATGGAAAGATCAACTCAGTGTGCTATGGTAGTGGTGGAGGGAAAGTAAAAAAAGTAAATTCTAAACTAGGAATGAATAAAAATGGGAATCGAAATCAGATTTCCAGTATAATGGTACTTCAATATAATTCTATGACCCAGTTGTATTTGGAATCCTATGATTGGATTGGATCATTTCAATGTTGTATTGTAGAGCTGGGAAGGATTTAAGTTACAGCACCCTAAATCATCAAGGAGATAAGAGTATTGCTTTCTATGAGAAAAGATTAAAGTGATTTTAAATTTTCTGCCTGTTTTTGAAAAGGGAATATGCTCAATGTTTATAAAGTTATGCATAACAAGGAGAAAACAAATAGCAAGATTTATTTCCCACCTCTCACAACGTTGGAACCTAGATAAATAGAGTCAGAACAAAGAAAATGCTTCTTAATCCAAGGCATAATTGCTTTATGAAATCTACTACAGCTAGAACTTGTAGTGATACTAACATTCTGTGATTCTTTGGCTTTATAGGAGTATCAGTCAAAATTGAGACATCTCAGTGAAGAGAGGTCTGTCAATGGCCATTAGGCAAAATAACTAAACAGAACCTCTGTGTACAGAGGGAATATAGCCCCAAATGCCAGGAAAACAATTAGAACAAAAAAGCTATTTCCTTCCTTTTCTTTTGTAGGTGTCCTGAGGCACTGATGAGCCAATGCAAAAGAAGAGAATGCTGGCCCAATACTCCCATACTCATTGAGACAGTGGTTCTCAAGCTGTGTGTTCCCAGATGTTTTGGCCTTCAACTCCCAGAAATACTAACAGCTGGTAAACTGGCTAGGATTTGTAGAAGACAAAACACCTGGGAACCCATAGGTTGAGAATCACTGCCTTAGGAGCTGACCATTGTTCCCAAGACCTATAGAATGAAAATCACCAAATGTTCCAAGTTTTCTTATGAGCAAGAGTCAAAAACAGCCTCTTCCTTTTGTCTGACCCTCACCCCTAGTCAAACATTTCTAGCACCCTCTTTCCCTAGCAGTAGTTTCTTGAAACTAATGATACTACTTATTCCCTGTCCTTCCTAGCCCTCTGTTTTTCTGTTTTTTACAATTAAAGAATCTTGAGTCCCTATGGATTGTATTGCCTCAAATGCTGTGTGGTGAGGATAAAGGAAGAAGGGACAACTGAGCGTGTATGTTGTCTAACATAGGAAGCAGATTCCTGTGTTTCATCAGGTTGGCTACTTCTATTCCATTAAGAAACAAATCCATGCAAGTCCTGTGGTCCCATTAGCAAATAATGCTTATCACAATTTGGGATGCTCTTTCATGATAGATGTACAGATAATATCTCAGATTGTTGCTTCAGCAGTCAGATGCTTTTCTGTGAGGCAGTGGTTCTCAACCTATGGGTCCCCAGGTGTTTTGGCCTACAACTCCCAGAAATCCCAGCCAGTTTACCAGCTGTTAGGATTCCTGAGAGTTGAAAGCCAAAACATCTGGGGACCCACAGGTTGAGAACCAATGCTCTGAGGGTTCTTTCACACCATGCGAGAGTTGTACTACACTGCCATGGTTGTAGTTTCTGGAATCATAGGGTTTCAGTTTGGTCAGAGGCAACAGAAGACTCCGGCTGGGAATTTTGAAATCCCCTTCCTATACGCACACTGCAAATCCCAAGATTCCATGGGATTTTGATATGGTAGTTAAAGTGGGCTACAATAAAGGAAAAATTAGTATCAGTTTGTTCAAAGGTGGGGTATAAAGATAATGATGATGCATGATGACAGCAATAGTGATAGAAAATGTTGGCAGAGGAATACATGAGACTCTCTTGATATATGTTATTATGTTCCTACAGCTTCCTATTAGGAGTTAACTAGAACTACTTCACTATTTTTGGTCAGGATTTGTACATAAATGCAGGTGGAGTGACAGTCTCCTTCTTTGAATGGCTGAAGAATCTGAACCATGTCAGCTATGGACGTCTCACTTTCAAGTATGAACGTGACTCCAACTACCACCTCTTGATGTCAGTGCAGCAAAGTCTGGAGAAAAAGTTTGGGAAGACCAGTGGAGAAATCCCAATTGTACCCACACCAGAATTCCAAGCCAGAGTGGCAGTAAGTCATATTATTCCGAAATACCCTTTCCTTTCCTTTCTTCCTTTTGGGGAGTGGGGGGCAACATCTTGTTGAAAGTCTTTCTATTTACTCCTTTTTCCTGCCTGTTTCCATGTGAAGACAGTACACATGTGATCATCTTGTTTTATCCTCATAGCAATATTGAGGGTGTGGGGTTGGCTGACAGTAGTGTTCACTTTGAATTTCATGGTTCTCAGTTGATGATCAATATATAAATATCTTGTTTTCCTTATACTTCTTTATTTCGTATAGGGTGCTTCAGAGAAAGATATTGTGCACTCAGGCTTGGCTTTCACCATGGAACGTTCAGCCAGGGTAGGTGCCTTTGATATGTATTTCTGTGCTCTCTCTCTCTCTCACTCACTCACTCTCACACACACACACTCCATTTTTTAAAAATGTTTCTTGCCAAGTCCTTAATATCACATAGTGGAAACTCCTGACTTCTTGCCAATCTTTTTTTGTTTGCTGTTGTAATAACTTTTATAGCACGATCAAAATGGCCCAGTCACTTATAGTGGTGTCACAGCCCAATTCTTTCGAATCCTTATGTTTTTGTCTTGTTTTTGTAGCAAATCATGAGCACAGCCACAAAGTACAACCTAGGTTTGGACCAAAGAACTGCAGCATACGTGTGTGCCTTAGAAAAGGTATTTAAAGTTTACAGTGAATCAAGTTTCACTTACTGAGCCTACCTGCCTACGTCCATCTATTGACTACAGAGAAAAGAAGAAAAATTGCCATAAGAAAGTGAGCTCTAGGTGTCGCTGTGGAACCTTGCAGCTTTTCTCTTTTGTTTATAACTCCTTCACCCTTTTCCTGTGCCTGATATCCTTGTTGCACGGTGGTAAGCCATATTTAAGCAGTTATTTCTTTATGTCTGCAGATGGTGCCATCAGTCCAAAGATGCTGCTACTTTGCTAAATTGCCATGTAATTGTTAAAATTAAGTATCCAATGAAATGCTGTCTCTTATTCTTCGTTTTGTTCAGTATGGATCTGCCTTTTTTTGTGTTTGAGATAACCTGCTGTCCCTTGTTTCAAATGTTTTGCATAAGTAACAGCTTTTGGCCCAAATTCTTTGATTCTTGAACTGTGCTGGTAGTGCCCTTACATCTCCTTGGTGACATCTTTCACAGAAGAGAACCCCAATTACAAGTAAATCTATTTTACTTCTACATGCCATAAAGATGGGGGTCTGAGGCTTAGCATGGATTTCATTCCTTGCATTATATTTATATTGCAGTCCATTCTTCCAAACATCCCATTACACCCCCTTCCTCTGCCTTCCCTGAATTTAAGCCTTTTCTTATACAGCAGTAAAGGTGATTGTTGCCTGAGATACTGTGCTTTTCAGAGTACATTTGCATTGAGCAGTGTGTTGACTAGGCAGGCTACATAACCTGAAAGTACCAGATCCCATCTGAGTGTAGAAGGTAAGCAGAATCAGACCTGTTACTGCTTAGATTGGAAAATCACCAAGAAATACCAGAAAACCCTATGGAATTAATGGGCTCACTTTAAGTCAACGAATGACTTGAAAGCATATGCACTCGCTTAATGTTTGACAACAGTATGCCCTGCTTTTTACTGTGAGATATATGACGTTAAGCCTGCCTTGTTGCTACTTGTTACCTGGCTCAAAGTAGTAATAGTGGAGGGGGGTGGGAATAAAGTTTTCTCTACCCCATCCACCAGAGCTCACATTCTGGTTCATGTTAACACACCCTTGGCTGCAGCATTTGTTCACTGTCATGTGCCATCCAAGGATTTCTTCATTGTACCTTTTATCTTAAGACTGTTTTTTCATGTCCAGAACTACTACCGTGCAATAGCCTTTCAAAATAATCCTTTCCTAGGCCAAAAATTACTGTGCTATATTAACAGGATTCTTGAAATGAAGGGGTCAGTCTTGGATAGACAAGGATCCTCCTATCTGCAATTTCGTTGTGTTCTCCTAGCATTACAAATCTATTCCAAATGAAGAAGCATTTGTGCAGGATTTAACTTCTTGCATATGTGCATGTTGGAATGGTATGGCAGGTGTTGGTGGAACATGCCTGTAGATTCAATGCCATGTAACGTTGTGTAGGTTCAGTCTAATCAAGCTGCCCATTTTTCTGTTGTTTGTGTGGTGTCACCTCGTTTTGATGAGCACCACTGCCTATTGATTGGGGGCTATTCTTGTGGACTCATGAGTCAGAGGTGCCTGAATCACCTTGTAGTTTTAACTCCTCTAAAAAAGGTGACAAGGAAGAGGAAGCTCAATTTCAGCACAGACCTAAATATGGGACTTGGGTTAAATGTAAAGGATGCTAGCAAAGCAGCAATGAAGATGTTTGGAAAAGAGTCATGGCTTGACTGTGGGATCTGTTTTCTTTTTCTTTTTTGATTTGGCAGTGTTTTAAAGATTATTAGCCCTATGGATTTGCTGGTCTGCCTGAAGGCATTGTTAACCTAATGTGCTATCCCAGACAAATCTAAAAGTAGGAGGTGTAATTTATAATAGGCAATTATCATATATAATAAATGTCTGGTTCTTTTAGCATTCCTCAAGGTTGTAGATCCATGATGACTCCCTTTGTCTTACACCAGATGAACATTTCTGGTTTGGGGGGTGTAAATAGTGATGAATGGGAATGTCACAGGCCAGGTACAATTTGGAGCATATTCCTTCTAGCTGCACTGTGATGGAGAGCCAATGCTCCATGCTAGCACATAATTTGCACAGATTTGCTTGCAGGTTGGCAATATCATCCTTCATTCAGTAGGTTAAAAGCTGTTCACGAGCAGAAATATCTACCAAGTTGTTACTGAGAGCAGGTGGGATATTGCTTGGAATAGATTTGCAGTGTCATAATTTCATTGGAAAATGAGGGGTTGGTTTTGTTTGTTTTTTACCATTTTCCAATGGGGATAGGCTGTTTCAGCATGCATGGTTTCGTGCATTTTTAACCTACCTCCTAGGTTGGCAGGATGGGCAGGATTGTGATTGAACCATGCATTTAATAATTTAGAAAACCTTAGGATCCCCTTATAGGTTAGATATGAGATGACCGTAGTAAAATTGTTTAATTGTGTTAAAATTGATTCAGTGAATCTTTCTGGCATAGATGTAACCTTAGTTCTTTATTGCACTCTCCCTAACACATCTGTTGCTAATGGAATCATGAACATAAGAGTGGATATGAGGGCTATGCGATCAATAAAACAATGTTTCAAAAGTCATTACAAAAGTAGGGGGTACCGGCATTTTGTTTCTAAAGTATAGTTAGTAAAAATTTCATTATTATTATGACAGTAATGACATTTTGTTACTATTTTGTTAAAGTAATTGCACATGTGGGGAGGAAGGGGTTGGGGCTCCTTTCTCCCTCATATCTAGAGCTATTGGGGTGAAACTTGCAACAGTGATAGAACATGTTTAACACTATTATCCTCCCTCTCCCACCCCAAGTTTCAGAATGTTTCACTCATTTATTGAGTTTTGGGGAAATTTGTTTTTTTTTTTTACCAAAATGCTTTTTTTAAAAAAGCAAACTACAGAAGTGATGTCTTGGAATTTCTCTACAATTACACAACATAACCAGGACATAATTTCCCCCAAATTTCAGAAAAATTAGCACGTCTCCTGATTTTTGGGGATTTTTTTGCATTTTTTGTCAAGAAAAAATATTTTTAGCTGCTATGGCAGGCTGGAGTGGGGTGGGGTTGTGGACATACACATTTACCACTGCAGGACACATTTACCACTGCAAGCAAGCCCATCAAGTTTCAGAACGTTTGTCAAACTAAGTGTTCTGTGGTGTACCATTGGACTTTGGGGATTTGCATTCCTCAGCCCCACCACTCTGTGCCAAAACTTTTTTACTTCAAAAATGGCAAAAATGTTTATTGGGGTTTGTGAGCTTTGAAAACCTTTTTGTTTGGCTTGGTAAAGATTTTAACACAATGTGGGCTTTAATATGGTAAAGGTTTTGGTAAAGATTTTAACACAATACGGACTTTTGAAATGTTAGCATAGCATCCTAAATTAACCTTAATTAAACCCTTTAGAGGACAAGAGAGAATAAACCATGTGAATTCAGCCAAAGACAAAAATGAGTAAAAGAAGCAATGTAACAACATGGTAATCCAATAGTAGCTTCCTTTTGTCTGGGTACACAAGATGTGCTAGTATCCGTTTTGCATTTATCCTTGTTGAGTGTGAGCTAATGTTTGAATTAATCATTCCTTGTGGCACCTTCACAACCATTTCCAACTCTTGTTTATATTATTAACACACTGCATGTGCCATCATCCCTATCACATAGTGAAGTGTGAGCTTCCCCAGAATCAAGGGTCTTCATTGAAGGGAGGCTGAATTTTCCAGTTCCAATATTCTTCAATATGTTTTGGACATTCCTAGCCAAAAATTAGTAAACTGGTTATTAGCAAACTGGAAGTGTTATCAGCACAAATAATGAATGGAGAAAGGAAACTGGTCCCAAAATTTCTTGATGATCGATTTTGGGACTGTTTTATTCATTATTTTAATAGATGATCTTAGAGGGGAACTGCTGAAGGGTGGGGGGGGGGGGTGCATGGGTATTTTGTAATGGAGAGTGAAATAAAGAACTTCCTGAGTCAAAGCACATGAATTCACACCTATTTCTGAAGCAATGGATTTTGCTGCTACTTAAGGACCTTAGCTGTACAGATAATCAGGGAGGTAATTCAGAACTTCTTAATGTAGCAGTAAAGCTTGATGTAAATTTCTGCAGCAGCAGGATTTATGAACACTGAAAGGATATAACATGAAATCTCTATTTTAAAGAGGTTCAGAGTTAATCCAGCTCTCTGCCCTTGATGTGTATGTCAGATTATTAGAAAGTGCAGCAAAGACCTGCATTAATAGTATATACAGTTACACAGCATAACAATCCATATAGTATTTACAAAGAATATCCGAATAAGCTATTCCAACAGAAGATGTGAAAATTATATATTACTATGTAGGCAGGAGGAGAACCAGAGTGTTGTAGTAGTTTGAGCACTGGACTATGAATCTGGATACCTTAGTAAGTCTTGCCCTCATCTCAAAGCAAAGCAAAGGCAACTCCCTCTGATCAAATTTGCCAAGAAAACCGTCATTGTGTTACCTTAGGATTTCCATAAGTTAAGAATTATTTGACACCAACAACATGTAGGCAAGAGCATATAAAAATGAGGATGAAAAGTGGGCAATGCTGTAAGGGCTGAGGAATGCTTTGTCCAGAAGGCAGCAATGTTGTAATGAAAATAGATAAAAGGTTGGTGCCAATTTTTTTTTCAAAGACTTGTAACTAAAAGCACAAAAATTAGCCATATATGCTACAAATAATGTGAAAATTAGTGGTGACAGATATTTTCTAATGATTCTTGAAGCCATAGTGGTGATCCTGGAGGGGCAGTTTAGTTCAGATGAACAGCCACTGATGAGAGTTCATACCCAATCAATATATATTCAGCAAATCTGTTATGCTAAGCTTTCTCATTTTCAGAACTATAGGGTACATCACTTCTTCTTTTCTTTGCAGGCTCTCATAAGAACAGCTGTTGAGTGGGCATTTTCTTCTTTTTCCGAACATACAGAGAGTGATCATTCAGCTACACTTGTACATGCTGTCTCCATTTACCTCACGTACTGCATTTCATGTTATGAAAGGCTGAGAAGCTGTATTTTTTATATCAGTGCATGGAGGTTGAATGTGCATTTGTTTGTATTAATCCACAATAATAGCTACATGGCATTGTCACATATCTTAGTGATTTACAACCGATTGGCCAATTATAAACCAAGATAGCATCATGTTTTTCACAGACGCCAATAGAGGCCACTGGAAATCTCCCAGGGATTGAGTGCAGTAACACCTAGCCAGTCATAATTTGGAGGCTTCTGCCCTTAGAGGCAGCATGTTGTCTCCATGACCAATGTCACACGTGAATTTGTCCCAAAGGTTCTGCAGAATAGATGCCATAACCAACCTTTGTGGTAAAGGAATTCCATACATGATCTATGTACTGTGTGTTTCATTTTGTCTGGCTTGAGTCTGCTCCAGTTGGCTTCATTGGAAGACCTGGCTTCTAGTTTCATAACTGAAAAAACAAAATATTGTACCTACTTTCCCTTCACCATGTATACTTTTATAAACATTGATCATATCCCTTATCTTTTACCCACTTTTCTCTTTAAAAACCTCCAGAGGTTAATGCAGGGAAAAATTATTTAAGCCATTGATAATTTTGCTTATCCTTCCAGCAAATTTTCCCTTTTGTAATGGATATATAATTCCAAGTATGACTAAATTATAGCTTGGTATGATAAAGTTATGATATGATAAAGGTATGATAGATACCAGTTCTATTTTCAGTTTGTTTCTGTGATTTCTAGCTTGTTACACAGATGGCAATAGGTGGCAAGCTGCTGAAGTGGCCTGTTTCTTTGCAACTAGTATAAAAGGAATTTTCTTCTGCTTTTTTTATTAGTCCATTGTTATGAAGAAGAAACATTACTTGTGTTGCAGCAGTTTACATTTTCTTTGCCAAAAGCAATTATCCCTAGGAAGTACTAGTTACACTGCCTCAGGCCCCTGAAAAGCTAATAGCTGCAGGACAGCCAACCCATAAAAGCTGCCTTATTCACAACACAAAGCAATGATCCTTTTTTGACTTGTGAACCATGTGAAAGCAGACAAGCAACTACAGAGAAGAGTTGGCTTTATTCATGGACACAGGGGCAGTTGTGTCACTGGCAGCTGCCCCAGGATTGCACACACAGCGACAGTGGGAGGTATATATCCATGCCACAGTCACAACACAGAGCGCTGGGGGCAGGAGAGGGAGGGCACTCCTTTTGTTTGGGATACACAGACACAACTTCTGCACTGTCAAAATCAGGGAGTCTCTGTTACAAGACCAAGGGAGTCAGGAAAGGGAGAGGTCACAAAGGCGTAAACAATCCATTCAGAATATAAAAAAAAGTTCCACCAATGGTAATGGAGCGGAGCTGGCGTGATTCACGTGCAAGCAAATGTACAGCAGGCCCAGCGTGGGGTCCCAGCCGAGGTGATGGAATGCTCTGCTTTAAAACGGAGAAGATACAACATGCTTCTTACAGACACGGGGAAGCCGGGCCTTACTGCGCTGGGAGGGAGACAGGGCAGTAAGGCTGGGCTCACAAAGGCGCGCACACACAAACCACTGCGGCCAGGGTTTGTCTTCAAAATTCTTGGTTTCTCTTAACGCTAAAGACCACGATACATAAAACACAGATCCCGATGAGGTCCCTTGGAGCAGAACTGGAGGAAGAACTCATGACAGTATGGGGTGTGGGGGCTCCTCTCCGTCACCATCTGTGTCAAGGCCTTTCTTTGGAGAGGTGGAGGAGGGTTGGGAGAGGGAGGGTCGTTATTGTTATTGTGCTGCTGGTGGAAGTGTCGGGAATGGGGATGGCCATTATGCTTCCGGCTCATATTCCTGATATTCCTCCTGGAGAGAAAGAAAGAGCATTGTTTCATGAGATGAAAGAAGGATATGGGATGAAGTAGCTCTGCATTGGAGCTTGTCAATAACTACCCCAGCGGCACATAATTCCATCTGCAACACAGCTCTTGGCTTAGGATAAGGGATTACTTGTGACACAACCAAGTATTAACAAACATGCACACTTGGCCTTTTCTTTGGGTTCAATGCATGTCAGCCCAACAAAAACTTTTTTTGACTACATCTATTCTGTTCTCTTGGAGAGTATCCTTTTCCTCTGAGTACATGTCTCCTGTCCTGCACTTTAGGTTTTTATAGGAATTGAAGAAGCTGCTTTGTACTGAGTATTTATATATATAGTTCAGTATTGTGTAACCTGCAGGCAGCGATTCTCCGGGGTTTCCGCCAAGGACTGGACCTGGAATCTTTTGTGTGAAAAATCTGTACATTGCAACCTGAGCTATGGCTCTTAGCTTTTCTCACATATTGATTGCCTGTGCCCTGATCCTGACTTGGACCAGCACTTGGTGACACACATGGAGATCTGTCCCTTGGGATGGACATCTAGAGTACTGTTTCCACCTCCATTCATCCCCCTCTGCTCACCTGAGGTGGCTCTTCATAGTTTTCTCCCTCAGGTTCCAACAGTGGCTCTATCAGTGGTTCCTCCACAGCTTCCTGACCAACTTCTTCAGGCTGCCAGAAAAAGATTTGCAGGTTACTCATGGCTGTCACGGTGTCCTTCCAGTCTGAATAAACAAACTTAGGTACTGTGAGAACCCAGGCATTTTAATAAAAATTATCTAAGGTGTATATATTAATATTTTAAATCTTTAGTAGCACTAGGCATTCCTTATACTGGGAACAAAGAGCGTTACAGCCCTAGTGATACCAGACAACCACAAGAAGGGACAATGTGTCCTTCTCTGAAGTTACCCACAGCTAGTCATATGGTTACATAATCTCTTGCCTGTAGGCAGTCAACTGGCAGCTAGATAATATTTGTGGGGTGTGGGACAGATTCTGGCTTTGATGATCCTCATTCCCAGGCAGCAGCTTCTTCCTATATGCTGCCTGTGCTACTCTCACACAACTTGTGCCAATAATTCCCAGTAGTGATTTATGCCTTCCTAATTCCTCTCATGGATCCCTTTTCCCATTGCAGGTACAGTTCTAAGTGGCTCCCATAGGTCCGCTGGCTCCTTTGTTTTTTCCAGACTCGTGTTCGCTTTCAAAAACCTGTCACAAAGGTTTGTACAGACAGAGCATGACAGGCCTTGTTTGCAAAATCCTACATGGATCTACATTTTCATATGTTCACATGAAACGGGGTGCAAGCATCCTCCACATTCTTGTACTCTTTTACACAGTCTGCCCTGCAAGTAAGGGAACTGATCAGAGCTTGTACCTGGCGGTCTGAATTACAAATGTTTGCATGTTTATGCAAGGTTTTAATGTAAGCATAACTGTTTTATTTCCCTGTGTCTTCTTCCACTGTAAATATTTCCTGAGTGGGTTTATGATGCCTGGTTTGTTTGCAACCAGAACTACTAAGGGCCACAACTCCTTGACTTGTGGAAGGTGTCAATTTTGATGGGGACTGTATTGCCCCTTCATTCCCTTTCACAGAAAAGGAACTGACCCAAGGCAGGGGAGGAGTGGGAAGACTGCCGCACAGTACCCTTCCCCCATGTCAAGTAGAAGAGAGCGCCTGCTCCTGCCCGGCTGCGCTGGCCTCATTTCTTCTTCAGCTGTTGCTATTTTAAGCTAAGCTGGAAGCAAACGGCTCAGTGGCAGCTCGGCAGCAAGATTCAAGAGCCCTTCCTCAGATCGACCAGCCCTGCAGCTGCCAGACCGCTTCAGTGCATGCTGTCTGCCCGCTTGCCCACTCACCCACCCATCCCCTGCTGAGAAACACACTCACTCTCCGGCTTGCACGTAGGCGTGCTTCTGAGTGCCTGCCAGCACAAATAGACACATTCGTTTAAAAAAACATAATTGAAGCATGTAAATGCACACTGATCAATGGTAGTTTTCAATGTCTGTAGTTGTTATTGGCACAGAGATGCACATATTAACTGGCACTGTGCTCATGTAGGTAGTCATCACATGTTATTGTATGAAGTATGTGTGTACATTGCTTTCAGTGCATGCACTTGTTTGTTCCTGCACATACTGTTCATACATTTTCCATCTGAGAAATGTCAGAATGGATGAATGCCCTGGATGTTCTCACATCCCTGCCACACAAGCTTAATGTCATTCTGTCTTCCTTTGCAGTCCCTAATCCATTGTGTTTTGCAAGTAGCTGGGCACAGGAAAACCCAGCAACCTGGCCATAATCCTGTTTTGGCAGGCAGATTCTTGTACCAAATTCAGATGTCTCCATTGTACTACGTTCCCTAGTAGGGCTGCTGAAGAAACTGTTTTCTTTCTATGAGAGGCCATGGGCTGCAGATAGCATCTCAATCTCACAATCACTGAATAGGTGTGGGATGCTCACCTTCAGGTCAGTTGGGAATTCATCTTTCTTGACCAATCCTGTGGCAGCTGCAATATTGCCAGCCCCTGAGAAGACAGCTCCACCCAGCTGAGATGCCTGCTCCTTCGTCTTCTCTGCAACTATGAAACCCACAAGAGAAATACCAGTAATCTTTACAGGGCAGTGCAGTCAGTTCTTTATCCTGGAATCATATTATGTGGCTTTCCACAGTTTTCATTTAGGACAAAGGGGCTTTGATCTTGGCAAGGGTATCCAGTAGGTCTGTAATGAGTAACGGCAACTATAGCTGACAGATCAATAGCTTCCCTGGCTATATACCAATGTGTCCCATGGGATAAAGTAATAACCCTCGACCATGGGACTGTTCCTCTTCTTCACAGTTTTATTTACCACTCATTTAGGTAAACACTGTTTCCCACCCCAAGACTTCTTCTGACTCATGTTCACCAAACCTTGTGTCCTGTGGGCACCACCTCTTACATCTGGGGTTGCACTGTAGCCAGTCCCTTCAGCTGGCTCTGCAGGCGCGTGAGAGGCAGCCAGGAGGCTTTGTCCTGGGCCCAGTTACATAAGAGGCTTTTAGTGACATCACTGTCCTGTTAGTCTGTGATCTCTCTAGCACAGCCGCCCACTCATTGACCAGGCAATGTCAATCTGTGAGAAAGGCGGTGGCGAAGGGGGCGGGGAACGTGTGACCAAAAACAAAAGTTCAGTACCTGAGGCCACGCCTGCAACGCCTTCCCGAGTTTTGCTTCCTACAAAAACAAAAAAAAAGTGTAAGTAATCAAAAGAGCCAGTTGGGTAGGAGTAAAGGGCATATAGGATAAAGTCATCCAATGCCTCTCAGTAACACCATCTATATTTCCCTTCCTCAAACAAAGACAAAGATTAAGTGATTTTTTATTCCCATGAGAAAATTTATGTTGGATAGGCATTTCTTTATGCAACCTTTTGTCCTTCCTACTTCCATGGGCCTATCCTATTACAGTTTGCTTTCTGAAAGAACACAGGGAACAATTCAGAAACCAGTCATTCAAGAAGGGGACAGCAATAGAGAGGCATTTCTGATTGTTTGACTCATGCTCAAAACACCTGCCCCTAGCCAGTGTCCAGATACCTATGAACTGAATTACAAACATTTTGAAAGATTTCTCTAATGTGTAAGTCTAGAAATCTTCATCAAAAATTGACCCAAAAAACCTGGTTTGACTTATCCACTGGTCAGTGCAAGTACTGCACTTTAACTAAAAGAGGAACCATTATCTTTACTTAGAATGGAAAATGGTTAAAGCCTAAATGTGCCTGTGAGAATCTAAAAGAAGCATCAACCCCCCCCCCCCTCCTTCCATGGTGCCGCTTCTAGCCTTTTTTGAATGTTTGAGTGGGGAAATGGTGGTGACAGCCAGGGGCAGATGCCTCCCCAAGGCTATGCTGGTGCTTTCCACTCTCCATGAAACAATCCTTGATTTATCAATGGGTTATATCAAAATACATACTTTTTGCCCCAAAAACCTGCCCTCAACTTATACATGAGACCAATTTATACGTGAATATATATGACAGGTGTACCTGTGTGTGCTCACACCAACACCATTGACAACAAGGATCGAGTCCCTGAAGGGAAAGGTTCCTAAGCATTTCAATGATTGAACACCCACAAATTTACAAACAGCTTAATAAAGTATTCATAAATACTTTTATTATATAAATAATCTCTTTTCTCTGTGATGCAGTTGAAAGTGCTTGTTTCAAGAATGAGGATGGATTAACTCTTTTTGAGGCTTTCAAATAAGTGAGTTCCATGTTTGCATTGCAATAATCACACTTGATGTTCGAGTAGTTCCAGTGATCTAAAAAATGACCTTCCATTAACACATTCACCCACTCAACACTACTGGGAGGAGTAGATGAAGAGGAATGGATGGTAAAAAATACCCCAATGCACATAAAATATATTTGAATTGATTCATACAGGTGTAGAGGTTCTGCAATATATCTCAGGATTTGTTAGAGACATGCTAATTGAGCCAAACAACTGGTGTGGCAAGACCTTATGTCCAAGGCAAGGATTAACTGAAAGACAGAACATGCTGTCAGGGCGTCAGAATCAAAGGAAGACAGTGCTATCATTTTAATACCAAAGGAGAAGGAATTGTAATGCAGAATGTTTCCTCTCCTGATACTCCTTAAAATAGATGAGGAGCCCAGCCCTTGTTTGTTTTTGGCCACTGGGGGTGGAGGGGTGGGGGGCAATTCTGGAGACAGAAATTGTGAGAATTGGATTCTTGTGTCTTACTCTGGTATCACCTGTTTGTTCAACAAAATAAATTAACTATATTTCAGGGTCACATCTCGGAAGTGTCACACCGAGGGCCACATCAGCCTTATGGTTGCCTTCAAAGGGTCATTTGTAATTGTAACACTGTATAAATGTAACTACATTGCCCTGGCATTGAATACCTCAGGAGCCACATAAAATGATGTGGAGAGCCTTATGTTTGACATGTGTGGTCTAGATTAAAATACCAGCCTAGACAGCTGAACCCAAGTGCCAATCCTGCTTCATCAGACCCCATTTTAAACAAACAAACAGGCCTCTGAACTGCCACCTCAGTTAAAACAATGAGTGTCTTAAGTAGGGATTTTGTGTAATGCCTTCCTCATGCCTATTGCCTTGGATCTTGACTGAATGTATCAGTTGGGTATTCATATCCTTTTGCCCTCCCAAGAAAATTGAGTTGATGCTCTTTTAATAGCAACTTACAGCACAAGTAAAAGAGCAGCAATACAATTTAGCTTTGCCCATGCACCTAACTGGCCGCTCTGATCTTTGTTGCATTGAACTTAGCCTGGCCTCTTTTGAATTGTCCACTTGCTTCTGGCGATGGAGCAATTGGTTGATGGCCTGTAGTCGTACCATACTAAGATCCAGGCAGTCTCTGCTAATGACTCCACGTCACAGTGGAGAAAGGTCATGACACAGTGAATAATAGAATGGAAATGGAAAAGAAAGGACTGAAGAATATAGTACCCGTTTTAAAATATGTCTGTCTTACTCTCCTGTATTTGAGAAGCTGTACAACAATGTGACATGAAATATCACACAGTACTGCTTCCTTTTCTAGTATGGTATCTTTTAGGTCAGTGGTTCTCAATCTGGGGTCCCCAGATGTTTTTGGCCTTCAACTCCCAGAAATCCTAACAGCTGGAAAACTGGCTGGGATTTCTGGGAGTTGTGGGTCAAAACCATCTGTGGACCCCAGGTTGAGAACCACTGCTTTAGGTGTTTTGGATTACAATTTCCATCAGCTCTAGCAGCATGGCCAGTGGTCAGAGGAAAAGATGATTATAGCCTAAAACATTGTGAAGTAGTGATAGGATGTACAGTAGGGAGAAATTAATTATATAACTGTAACATAAGCTGTGTTATTATATTATTTGGGCTTAAAGAAAATCCATCTTATCTGTATTATACAATACAAAGGGGGTGCGAAGAGAAGAAACATATCAAGGACATTACAAAATGTATTACAATGACCTCCAACTATCAGTATTCTCTTAGGCATATTATGGTGAGTGTATCTCTCAAATCTGTAGTTCGAGGCCTAGCACACCTCAGTTCTATGCAATTCTGTTCTAGAATAGGCAACAATGCAACAAACTTTCCAGACTACACACCACTGCTCAGTTTCCTGCACCAGCTTTTCAGACTTTAAATATCTCCAATCCCTAATTGGCAATAACAGCAGTTGAACTGGTGGAGCCAAATGGGACATGTTTCCAGGGGTTCAAGCCAAAAGCTCATGTAATTTTTTTGAGCCACGCTATTAGAGACTGCAACTGGAAGTTCACAACAATATTCCCTTTTTCAGTCATTTCTGTGTACAGTACGTGTCTGTGATGAAGAAGGCTATCATTTTTTTTTGCAAACCTGTGGTATTGGGCTAAGTGTTGTACAGAAAAGCATTGCAGTGGTTAGCTTCAATCTGCAAAAGGATTACCATCTTGGTAAGAACTAGGCCTCTTATATTCTTAGACATGTTATGCTGTATGCAACATTGTGATTTCTAGTATGTTTCTCTGAAGCCATTTATTGGTTTGTTTTGTTGTGGGACTTTTAATATTAAAACTAGATTTAATTCTAGGAAATAGTTGACTGGTAGAACCAGCCCTCTGTAGCCATGGATTCTGCATCCACGGCTTGAAAATGTTTTTTAAAATCCAAAATGAAACCTTGATTTTGTCACTTTATATAAGGATCACCATTTTATTATATCACTAGCCATCCCCTGCCATGCATTGCTGCGGCCCAGTCTGTGTAGATGTGTTTTGTGTATGTATATATTTGTGTATATGTGTATATAGGTGCATTTGTGTATATTTTGTACATGTTTTGTAATGTATTTCTTGTTTTTTGGCTTTTTAAGTCTCTTCTGCTATGTTTTTCAGTGTTTTTATGAGTGATGGTCACTCGTTGGCCTGATAGGTGTATTGTGTCCACATTTGGTGTCAATTTGTCCAGTGGTTTTTGAGTGATGTTAACAAACAAACAAACACTACATTTTTATTTATACAGATTGAATATAACGGGACTTGAGCATCCATAGACATCGGTATCCACAGTGAACCAAAGATTCAAGATGCAGGGAGTATGACTCTACAACAAGTCAGTTGTGATGGTGAACTAGGGTTTGTATCCCTAAAGCTTGGGGCAGGAATAGGGAGTAAGAGTTGTCTGGATTTTATAGGACTACAGCTGCATCAGCTTTACCCAGCAATGCCAGCGATACATCCTGTGAGCCACTTGTTCCATACCCCTTTCTTAATGCTACACTATAAACATCCTTGCATTTCAGTTGAACTGCAACAGGTTTCCCTCCAAAAGAATATTGTGTGGTATTTGTTGTTTAATATGCTGAGACTTTTCTGTTCAGTAATGCTTGGTCCATTTTATAGACCCAGAATTCTATTATTGAGAGGGAACAGTTAACCATACTATCTATCAGAAAATGTAGTTGCCACAGCAGAGGCAGCAACAAGGCATTAGAGAAAACATCCCAGTGCTATATAGCTTGCCAGATGCCCCCAGTGATTACTCGCTTGTCTTCAACAGGGCAGAGGTTGTTCTCCTAATGCCAATGTTGAAACAAAGTTCAACTGGCAATTTTTATAAATGGGGACGCCATATTTTTGTTCAGTTCTTGCAACAAAATGTTGGGCCAACCCTGGCTTACATTACGATTGTCAGTTACTGAAGGCTAAGGAGATGCTGCTACAACTTTGGATTTAGTGAGACATTCTTCCAAGTAAATTTAACATACTGTATTTTATACAAATTGAGTAAACTCCAGTGTGGTATAGTGGTTTGAGCATTGGACTATAGCTATGAAGACCAGGGTGAAACACACACTCTCCAAGCCTCTCCTTAGCTTTGTATCATTGTCCCCCCTCGGAACAAATCTTGCAAAGAAAATCCCACAATAAGAGTTGCCATAAGGTACACAACAACAACAACAAAATTCAATTGAAATCAGTGAGACTTACTTCTGAATGTTTATGCAATGGCAGTGTTAGCCAACAGCCCAGAAAACTTGGGGAGTAAGTCCCACTGAACTCAGAGTGGCTTACCTCAGAGGAAACATTCTCAGGAATGAATTACAACCAGCTCAAGACCTGCAGGTGATCCATGGCTGGTCAGAGGCATGAACTTAAGTTCCCATGCAGTTTTAAGCTGTTTGGAACAGAGTCTGACTTT